GATAAGGATAACGATAGTGATACTGACAATATTGACACCACAGATTGCTGCAGTGTTAACAGCGTGGCTAGTAATTAGCAAAGAGGGGTTGAAGATTTTTCACTCTTTCCTTATATGTGTCCTAACTGTTGAGAGTTTTAGCAATCAGCATGCATTACCTTTGTAGTGAAAAGTAAAATAAGATAAAAATATCAGAGCCACTCATCTAAATAGCACTCCAAGCATCTAGAATGATTTAGGAATGTGGTCCAGCAGGCTGAGGCACCTTGAAGTCAGGCAACCAAACAAAGGTAATGAAGCCCTGTGCTTAGAATTCAGTTCTTTGTGCAGCATTCCACATTTCCACCGAGAGAAATTTAAAGCAGCAACATTTTCTGAATGCAGGGTTGTCATAGCCTGGTGTGACAGATGACAGATACGGTTCCAGTAATTCCCTGAAGAATTCTGATGGCTTCTTATTTACCTTAGTAGGTGATCCTCTGAATTTAAAAAATCTTCACACGTGTGTAACTAGGCTGTTAATTGTTAGATACTTCAGACAGGAGGGTCTTCTTCGGATGGTAGAGAGAGCTACATGGTGGCCCGGAAAAATATATGTTCACGTTGTAGTCCCAGCAGCCTGTGAATGCTAGCTTACCTGGCAAAAGAAAAAAATTTAAGTCAGAGTCCTGAGAGGAGGGGCTTATCCTGGATTATCTGGATCATCCCTAAATGCCATCACATGTATTCTTTTTAAAAAATATTCATTTATTTCTGTATCTTTAGTTTTAGGTGGGACACATTAGTTTGTTTTTATGTGGTGCGAGGATCGAACCCAGTGCCTCATGCATGCTAGGCGAGCACTCGACCACTGAGCCACAACCCCAGCCCTCACACGTATTCTTACGAGAGAAAGAGACAAAGGGGATTTTAGCACAAGCACACCGAGAAAAAGATGAAGGAGGAGGTGATAGGATGATGGAGGCAGGTAATGGAGTGATGTGACCACAAGCCAAGGAAGCCAAGAAATACTGTTACCAGAAGCTGGAAAAAAGTCAAGAAATGGTTTCTTCTGTAAATCCCAGAGGAAACATGGCCCTGCAGGCACCTTGCCTTGGTTTCTAGACTCAGGAACAGTGAAAGGATGCATTTCTCTTCTTTAAACCATTGAGCTGGTGGGACACTGTGACAGTGGTTACAGGAAACTAACACAGATAATTAAATTAGTGAGGAATTGCAGAGTTACTTATGGTGTTATGAAATCAGTCAGTCCCAAGTCCCGAGATGTAGGAATAAACTGCTCACATCCTCCACACATCAAGCATAGCCTGTGGCCATTTGTACAGATAATGTTCAAAATACTCTTAGATGGTCCACAAGAAGCACATCGCATGATCAATCTAACTACTACACAGTCCTATCGTTCCCAAATTTTTCAGATAAGAAAACTGGGACATCGAAAAGGTAAATAATCTGCCAAAAGTCATACAGATAATATATGAGAGAAGCTAGATTTTTATCTAAACAGTCTAGAAAATTATTAGTATTCTAATAATTTACTTACATTAAAAAATATTAGAACGCCATGCTATAGACCAACATAAGTAACCAAACAACACAGAAAACTAACAAAGTAAAATGAAATCTTTATCTCTTTATTTTAATCTAAATAAAAGGAAAGATTAGGGGAGAATTAAGCATAAGAAGAAAAGACTAAGGGAGATTTTGAGAGTGAGTTTAAAATACCTCAGGGAATTTTGTTATTTCCTTTGAGAATCTTTTCTTCCAATAAAGTATATTTTAAAAGAAAACTGGGTACATACTTTTTCTGAAATTATTAATAAATTGTGAATTGGGGTGCCTTGGCTGATATTGTCTTAACTAATGCATCTCTAGGCTTCTGTAGTCCTGCTTCCTCTCTTGCTTTCTTAGATTAGTCAGGTTTCCATCACTGCAACAACTTACCTGAGAAAAATCAACTTCAAAAGGAGGAAAAATTTATTTTGGCTCACAGCTTCAGAGGTTTCAGTCCATGGTCACTTGGCCCTGTTGCTTTCACTCTGTGGCGAAGCAGCATATCACAGCAGGAAGTATCCAGGAGAGTAAAGCTGCCCACCTCGTGGCCACCAGGGGGCAAAGTGAGAGAGCCAGAAAAGGGCAAAGGCCCCAAACCCTTTTATGGGCACACCCCCAAAGACCTAACTTCCTTCCACTAAGCCCCATCTCTTAAAGATTCCACCTCCTCCAAAGAGTGTCAAAGGCTAGGGACCAATCCTTTAACACCTGCTTTTGGGGACCACGTAAGATCCAAACTATAACATGCTCTTATTCTTTTACCTTAATCTCACTCAAATGCCAGTCTCTTATACTTTCATTTTCACCCAAATATCTTCACAGCGCTGCCCAACATCCTGAGGACATTTTTTAAAAATTTTACTTTAAAACTATCAACCATATTCAGAACCAGAGAATAGAATAGACTCAACCTATCTATTGCCAGCTTCAACAATTCTCAGTCAACCAATGCATTGGAAATATCGTTTGATTTATAGTCATGTCAACTGCCTTGGTCCACTATTTTGAAGCAAATCTCAAACATTATTTCTTCTGTACTTATCTCCAAAAATAAGAATTCATCTGTATAACCATAACTACTCTATGATGATCAGTCCCCCAGATTAGTAATTATTTCAGAGTAATATCAAACATCCCATCAGAATACCAATTTCTCTAATAGGAGTGTATTCAATTTGTCTATTAAGTTAAGTGAAACTGGCATCTGTATCATGCTGAATACTTTCACTACAAGATCCAGATATATTGTTTTTATTTATGATTTCTTTGGGATTTTCTAGTTTTATACTTTTCATTTTGTTCCTTTATATAATTTTTATTTTTGTCTGAGATTTTCTACTTTTTATTTTGTTTCAAGAGAATTTGTAATTGTGTGATGAAGCATTTTTTATGATAGTTGCTTTAAAATCGTGACAGAATAAGATAATTCTAATATCTGATTCATCTGCATGTTAACATTAGATAATTGTCTCTTCTAAGTTTTAACTTCTTGATGGATAGGTGATTTTTTTTTTATTGTGTGCTGGACATTTGGGCGATTACGTTAGCAGTTTCTGTGTTTCTTCTATTTTAAGAAGCAACTACTTTGTTTTGGTTTAACAAGTAAATCCTGGTCTAATTTTGTAGGCTGTGGTTCCAATAGCGATTTAATTTTTGGAGCCATTGCAGTGCTGATTTGAACTATTTAGGTTACTTCTGGACACTGACTCCACCACCAGTTCTCAATGGTGCTGCTTGAGGTGACAGAAGGAGCTTCAGAACTCAGGCTGCTTGATACCTCTAGGTGGAAAGACGGTCTTCAGCTCACAGAGGCAAAAAGGTTTCACATGTCATTCCTGGTCTGCTGTCTGGTGGAATTTCCCTTACTGGTGCTACACAACTACCAGGTTCCTCTCCATAAAAAAAAAAAAAAAAAAAGGAGAATCCCAGAAATGCAAAAACAGAATCTTACTGGCTGTATGTTTATCGTAGCAGGATGCTTATTGTAGAAAGATCCCACGTGTTGGTGTTGGTAACTTCTGTCCTCCTTGTGTCTCTCTTCATTTGCAAGGGTGGAGGAAATTCTTTTGCAAAATGACTTTTTAACTACTTATACTTCTGTTTCAAATAAAGTTCCATTTATACTTGTCCTTTTATTTTTTTTAAAAAAAAGTATCTAATTTTAAAGATCAGAAGTCATGGAACTTTTCCTATAAAGTGTTTCATAGTACACATTTTGGCTTCACAGACCCTGAGCAACTCCACAACTCTGCCATCTTAGCAAAAGTCTTATTCAAAACTTTAAAAATGGAGTGTTCCAATAAAATTTTACCTAAAAAACAAGCAGCTGTATAGATTTGGCCATGGCCTATATTTTATCAAATTTTTCTCAAGATTTTAAATTTATTTACATAAAATAAAGGAAGTTACTTTCCTATAACTATGAAAAATGTTCTTCTGTTTTATTATTTCCCCTTCATTATTTTGGATTTCGTGTATTTGTGCATTCTCTTCTTTCTTTGTTCTTAATTAAGTTATGCACTGGCTTGTCTCTTTTGTTGAGATTCTTCAAAGGAGAATTATTAGCTTTATTTATTAATTTTATTATTATTCAACTTTTTAATTAGTCAACTTTGGTTTTAGCTTTATTAATTCATTTCTAGTCCATTTAGCCTTTTTATTTATTTTCTATTTTGAGATAGGGATTTAATACATTTATTAACATTATCCTTTATGTAAACAATTCTACAATTTTTCCTTTTTGTTGTTGTTTTCCACAGGCTCATATATGTCATATTTATGGCATGATTTATTTTTAATTTTTTTTTTGTAATTGTAGATGGAAAGGATGCCTTTTTTATTTTTTTATTATTTTATTTTTTTGTTAGCTACACATGACAGTACAATGATCTTGGCAATTCATACATTTGAATAAAATGGGGTATAATTTCTCATTTTTCTGATTGTACAGGTTGCAGAATCACATTGGTCATACAGTCACGTAGATACATACAGCAATAATAATGTCTATTTTATTCTGCTGCCCTTCCTATCCCCTCCTCCCTTTCCTCCCCTCCCATCACTTCTCTCTACCCAATCTAATGTGACAGACATTTTTTTTTCCTCCTCACAACATCATTCATGTATTCTGTATAACAATGAGGGTCTCCTTCCATCTTCTGTGCAATTCCCCTTCTCCCTCCCCTTCCCTCCCACCTCTCTTCCCTGTTTAGTGGTAATCTTCTTCTCATTCTCTTCCTCCCTATCCCATTTTGAGTCACCCCCCTTATATCAGAGAAGACAATATTTGTTTATTTTTATGTGGTGCCAAGGATCAAACTCAGTGCCTCACACATGCTAGACAAGTGCTCTGTGCCACTGAGCTACAGCCCCAGACTATGGCACGATTTTTTAAGAAGATAAAATTTTTATTTCATTTTAATTACCCTTTGATTAGTTGCTTAATAAATATTCAAAAAAATACAGATGGAATTATTTGTATTTCATTATTAATTTTCAGTTTTGTTTTTCTGTGGTCTAGACTATTGTTTATATCATTTCTAGTTTTTTTAATGTATTGAATTCTGTTTCTATACATTGCTATAGTCAATTTTGTTCCACAGGTACTTGATAGAAAATGTCTCTTCAATTATTAGAACTGATCTTTATATGTATATCTAATATATACAATATTGATTATATTGCTCTCTTTTATGGCCTAACCAATATTTTTTCACTTGGTTTGACTTGGATTTATAGGCAGGCATTAAGATTTCTCTTACCAATATAGTTTCCACTTTATTAAAGCAGTACTGTCATTTGGAGAATTGTTGGGAGTGCATTCTTAAGTATCATTTCTCCATCTTTTAATACATTTGATTGTAATTTTACTTTCTTGTTTCTAGTATTCAGTATAGTGTTCAATTTTGATTTGTTAATCAGTCAGAATATTATTTTATTTTAATGGGGAAGCTAAGCTTATTTTATTTGTTAAAATGATCAATGTCAATGCATTTTGCTTTGTTCCACTAAGTATACACAGATACACCATACCAATACTTTTAAAAAATTATATTAATATCTTCTTATAGTATGCTTGATTCA